TAGAACTGTATACTTTAGTTACTTTCATAGTATTGTATCCTATGGTATTATTCTCTGGGGATCAGCAGCCGATATTGAAACTATATTTATCTTGCAAAAAAGAGCCATAAGGGCTATTTATCAACTTAGTTCTAGAACATCTCTTACAGAAAAATTTAAAGAAATCGGGATTTTGACTGTTGCTTCACAATTAATTTATAATTGCATACTTTTTGTTCGAAGCAATATTAACTATTATCTCAAACACAGTGACATACATTCCTTTAATACACGGAATAAAAATAAACTCAAGATACCAAATTACAGAAGGTTCATAAATCATTTATGGGTATACATTTCTATAATAAGATTCCTATTGATATCCTTGATTTGCCTCCTCATAAATTTAAAATACACATTAAGAATTGTTTACTTAAGAAAGGATATTATACTGTCAATTATAATGCCCTTGCTGAGTTTCTTGCCGGTTCTTCTCAGTACAAGGTCTCCCGCCGTAGATTTGCGAACCGATGGCGTAGCTTTTCGACATTCACAAGTGCTTGTAACAGCCTAGACTGAAAAAACGATATTGAATTTTTTTGAATTTGAATTTTTACCAATGACTACTTAAATGATTATATATATAACAGAAATGAAAATATGAATATATTATATATATGAATATATATATACGTAATCAATCGATTTTAATTTTTCATTTTACCAATTATTTCTCTATGACAAAATATATTATTTAAGTATTCGGTTACCGAATAGTAACCTAATATTCGTTGCAAGTCTAGTAGTTATACTATGACTATGTTTGGATTTCTTTGTAAATGCTTACTATAACTCTACATTAGACGTCTTTAGTTGTGATAAAAATTTGTTTATTTTTGGCCCTTTCCGAGGGCTTCTAGTTTCTTTGAAACACAAGTTACCGAAAAAATAAGACAGGTGCATAGAATAAGTAAAATTATATTTTATGTATGAAAATGAGGAATCGTCGAACAATAATTGATTTGCTATTTCTACATAAAATTATAAATAATGAAATTTCGTGTCCTGATCTGCTTGACTCAATAAACGTCACTGTACCCCGTAGATGCCCAAGAAAGCCACATACGAAGACTTTTACTTTGCCTTTACACAGAACTAACCTGGGTCTTCATCACCCTCTGGCCAGAATCTGCAATACCTATAACGATATTCTAATAACCTATCTAATAACCAATTGCGTGCCCGACGGGGTCCATAATGCTCATATTTATATAAGTACCTACCACCCACTGTACACATTATGGTTGCAATAAATGATTTGAGTTTGAGTATTAACACAAGATCACCCAACTTGGACAATTTTGACGTTTCGCAGAAAAACTTTAAAGCAACATTGTTTGAGCTGCTCGATTCTCATTGATTCTCATTAATTATCATTAATTCCGCATTATTATAGTTATTATTATTATTTTTAGTACCAATTCGACATTACATTATTATTATTTGCATCAATTTGACATACATTTTTAATTTTAAATCAAACATTAATTATTAATTGCACTATTTTGTATTGATTATTCATTGATTTATTGATTATTAATTCCATTTATTATTATTGATTATTAATTACATTGTACTTTTCTGAATTGAATGTTGTGTGTGCTTGTAAAGGCTTGCATATATGTCTTAGAATAAGTATTTTTTTTTTAATGTTTTTATATGTTTAGCTGTAAGTACACCTATCAAATAAATAAATAAACAAATCAATTAATTCTTTAGTGAAACAAATCAAGGAAGAATCAGTCGAGAACGTTTGTATGGAAAAACATTGACCGCCTTCCCTCTTAAGTAACACAAAGATTTTTCTAATAAACAGATAACGAAGGTAAGTTCGTCACCTGTATTATATGCTTTGTCATTAATGTTTTCGTTGTAAACAAGCACCAGGTATTTTTAAATGTTGTTGTAGGTACTTTCATCCAACATGGGGATATATAATAAAAAAGTTAACAGTCCAGCGTCATGCATGGATGGCTCTTCTATATAGGGGATCGGGTATTTCAATTCAACAAGTCATGGTAGACGAGCACCTTATTCGCTGTCTGAGCATTATTTCATAAAAAGCCACGAATGTTGATAGATACACATGTATAAAAACAACGTAAGATACCAAATTGTAATCACATAATAATTTTCTTTTGCCCGTGCTATCGCGAGATCTATACAATAAATCTCTCAAGATGATTCTTAAGCCTGCATTAATGATAACTTAATATATACTTTGGACATTTAACCTTTATTTCGTGAATTTGATTAAGAACTTAGTTATATTCACTATTTTGTACATACATAATATATTAATTTTAATTAGCAGCTAGATTAGAGTTAAATTCCAGGAGAGTATTAACTTATGATTATTCCAAAGGTCGTTCATTACATCGAGAATATTTTAATCTAAATATCATGCATAAAAGATCAAAGCAAATAGTAGTTAGGCCAACATATAGAAAAAAATATTCTAAAACGTAATTAAAATATCTCTCATTAATTAATACTGTCATTTTAATATCAATGGAACGAGCTTTCGTTAAATTAAAGTAAGTTAAAAATAAAATTATTTCCTGGGAACAAAGAGCACCTAATTTCTTAACACTGTACTGAGGACACCGGCTCCATGAATCAAACTTTTTAAGATTCTCAGGCTTCATCTACTTGATGAATAAGTGGTCAAACTTTTTTAATATTAAAATCTTAGGAGCGATACCTGGATGATATGAACTATTTCAATAACTTAACATAAATTATGCAATCTGCATTGCAGAGCTGATTAAAAAATTTTAATTGAATCATGTTGTTCTCATTGTGTGATTGCAATTTACTACTAGAAGATGACCTAAAAGTATAACTTTTATCTGCGAGATCTCAGTAGCGGGTATGTAAGTAAACGCTATGAAAAAAATATTCACCTAGGTACGTTAAATTATGGATTCACTAACAAGTGAGTCACGATAACCGCCTGAAATGCGGAAGACTAATGTGCAAATACCTGAACCAACGTACTGAGAAAACAAGCATATTAATAGTCGACTTTATTTAAAAATATATGATCCGTTAGGCTCTTTGTTTTTCCAGAAAGGAACAAATTTATATATGTAATAGCAAACATTACGTATGATAAAATAATAAATCTGGAAGATAAATAAGAATGAGTTTGATGCTGATCAAATATATTTTGTTTAAATTTACTTCCGCCAACAGTATTCTTTAAATATTACTTAAAAAGTAAATATGTGTAAGAAAACTATCACATTTGTATAACTTTTATCAGCTTCTATGAATACATAAAATGGTTTAAACTCAGCCAGTCGCATGTGCACACTATTAGGTCGTCTAAATATTGTTTTACTTGAACATATGGATACTGTTTATCTTATGATGTCACACTAGCTGCTGCTCCAGCTAACACAATAGTTTCTGTATTTTATCTACTTTATAGGAACCTCATGTTTTTCCAACACTGGAGATAACAGTAGGATTTCAAACTTTTCAACTGAAAAGCAAATTATAAGAAACAATTTTTAACTTTAGCCAAAATAATATTTGGAGTCGGTGCCATGCCAACCCAAGTAGTAAATGGGAACTCAGACCTATCAGACATGCATGTAAATTTGTTTAAAGATAAAAAGAATTAGATTTGTTATCTGCTTTAATGCCATTTTAAAAAACGATCAATAAACTTCAGAGTGCAATTTAATACAAAATAAATGAACATACTCTGAATGATGAGTAATTTAATACTTCTTTGATAACCGGAATATCCAAATGAGATTCCAAAAAATACATTAATTAGTAAACAAAACACATACTCCTTAAGTTTCATGGAATTGTTGATCGAAGAGGAATTATGTAAAACATAGCATTGCTCTCGATGATTGAATGAGTCAAATATTGTCAGTCGAAAATTTTTTTTTTTGGGCTGTTATCTGTAGATACTACATTGGTTACTGTTATCACTATAGCAGAACCTCTTATCTTTTACTACGCTGATAAATATTGTCAAAACATCTACACAGTTATTTCATAGAAATTACACAAAATGTATACAACGACAAATATAAATATGTAATGGTGTCGATTCTGGCGTGATTCTCTAAACTTAAAACTAAATTTAACATCAGTCTCTCTTTTTCATTCTGTATAGAGAATGACAAGGAAACACTGTTGTCAAGTTTAAGTTTAGATTTAGAAAATCGTGCCAGAATCGACACCAATATATACCTTCACAATCTCTAAAAGAAGTAATTCTAGAAAGCGTAAAAGCTGCAAACAAAGATACAAACTAATAGGTTGACAATAATAATATGTTTTTTAAATACTTTTCTTTTAGTCAAAGAGGACATAATAATTAACTTCTTTAAGCTCATTAATGTCTTATAAGTTTGCAATTATTTCTCTAGTAAGTAAACGTAGTACGTACATCTAATCTAAACCAATACCTTATTAAATTCAAGAAAATGCTTTTGCTTGCTTCCTAATTACCAACTACTACTCATTCTCATTATCTAATAAGTACGAAATAAATAAGGCAATGAAACTCTGTTTTTTGTTTAACAAAATTAAGATTCAGATGTGCTATTGATGACTGTTAATGATATTGTAATGGAGGTTATTACTCATGAAATTATTCACAACTGTAAAATTGGCCCTATTTTATAAATAAACACTGAATCATGTATGAAGTTAATATATTGCGTGTTGTTTGTTTTACTCGTGGCCAAAAGCACCTTTTTTGTGTCGAATAAATATGTGTACATTCCGTAGTGTATCGAGAAAATATATATTAATAAAAACCATTAAATATATAACTACACCTGTGTAAATTGAACAGTTATCATTTCGTACGCAGTCGCAGACAACGTGATCGATCCTGCCTATTTGGATGATAGCCAACTACGGTCTCTAGCGCAGTGTGGCATCAGTGACCTGCCTTTTATATATTTATGTGTCATTGAAATACAGACCATTCTCGTGACAGTAGTAAGGTCCCAAGCAGATCTCGTCTTGCCTCGCGGTTGAGTGCCATCCTTGCGTCTGCCTAATGAACCATAATTCGTCGGAACGGCGGATTCTTCCCGTTTACGTCGTCCAGCACCACGACGTAGTGAAGAGAACCAGTTGGACACTGAGCCTCGACGCTCCTGCTCGGCCGTTGCCGGCCCCGCTTTGATAAACATTTCACAAGTACCAAAGCACTGTGCACATCACACCCCACAAGTTTCGAATCGAGCACTTATTAGTAAAAGCTATAGCCACACGTTACCTAGAAGGCGAAAACACTAATTGAAATATTAAATAAAAAAAAATAAGCAAATTAAGTGGAAAAATGCATGACACGCGTCGTCGGGGAGCAGGAACGTTGTCGCTGCCGTTGTCGTTGCCAAATTCCGAAACAGGTAAACATTGACACAACAAAGAGTTTTGCGAGGTGCAAAATAAGCGACTTCGATGACGAACCTGTTCATAGTCGTCGTCGTACTTTCGTGCGGCGCGGGCGCAGCGCATCAGAACCGGCCACCACAGCGCGCCGCAGAGCAGACGAACAAAACACATCGCGCGTCATACACTTCCCTCTAAGGAACGCACTCGACTGAAGATAGTAGCGGGCGCTACCGTTGTTTGGCACAGTGACAGATTACGTAGATACCTACAATGCTTATCTCTGTTTGTCGCCCGACAAACTGTTTTCACACCTAGAAATTATCGTCAACGTAAATACCTGAGAAAAAAAAACAAAAATATACATTGGCCTAACATAGCTCGACATCTGAAGACCATAAAGAACACATAAAGACCAAGTATTGTAAATGTAGCAGAGCAAACGATTTAGCAAGTCATCAATCAAATTTGCGAAACCCTGAATATCAATGCACCAATTAAAGACTTTAACGGATATAGGACGTGAAGTCCTATATAAAAAAATATTTGATTTCATTAACCATAGAAATTCAGTCAGAAAGGTGTCAAACAAAGAAAGAACACAAATTACTCAATAGACACTGTCGACGTTCAAAATTTGCATAAATCTTATATTTCATACCACTATTAGTGCTAAAATACAAATTATATTGGCTTTGTTTTGTAACAACAAATTTATCGACAGGCTGTTATCATTAAACGGGAATTCTACGGAAACAGTGAGGAAATGCGATAAAAGCTATGAGTCGTCAACATTTTCCGGTCAGATAGAATCATCCAAGTCCAAACTTTAGAAAATAATTAGAAAATCGATTAGCAATAAATAGCTATTTGGAATTAAGTCAAATACCTTACGACTACATACAAAGGATCTTAATTACAAATTGAGCACTCATCAGCAGATTACCGAAACAACAAAAACTGCTATTTCAATAAATTTATAAAACTGCTAAGAGTCTCAAGCGGAACCTTTCAAGCGAATACAACTAAAAATTTTATATTGGCCTATGTGTCAAAATACTTATTTTTCTTTTCTGCTTCTTTCACATTATCGCAATCGTCCCTATAGTCAATAATAATCAAAAATATGAATATAAAAAGGCTAAGAGTAATGTATGTAATAATAACTTCATAACTTAGGACCAAATACAATTGAATTAGTAATTTAATCAAAGAATATAAGCTAGGTACTAACAAATTAAAAATATGTGGGTTTCTTGGGGTTATCATTCACATGGGTATTTAAAACTAATGATAGGACTAAAGTCTCGTTTATAAAATCTTTATCGCGATGTTGATTGTTGTTGATTCTTTATGTTGATGAATTAAACAAGAAGACTAATTTATTATCATAGTAATCAAATAGTGTTATTACTATACTTTTATCTATTATGAATTAGATTCTATATTCCTAGATACAGAAAAACCTCTAAGTATATTATAGCTAAGTGAAGAGCTATAGAAAGAGATATGCAATTAAATCGTAGTAGTAATGTCAACATCACACCGTTTCTATCCGACCTTCGAGGTAAAGTATTTTGTATACAAGGAAATAGTCTATAGTTGGATTTGGCAGATGTCTTAACTAAATAAATGTAAGCAAATCCTTGATAAAGTTTAATTTTAATTCCTAATGGCAAATACAAATATTACTATAGATTTATTATGATAATATATTGTTCTGTCCATTGATATATATTTCAATGGTTATGGTGGTTAAGGTTTTGTCTATCTGAATGATTCCTTCAGTTGTTTTGTTATTAAAATAAGGAAACAATTACCAAATCTTCTTTGAATCAACGTCAACTCAAGTCACTAATGCATGATGTTTTGGACTATTCGTGACGCTAAATAGAAAAAGAATAAATTACTATTGTAACAAAGAAAAAGAACACGAGGCAGTAAATCCATCCACATGGGAAGAAGAAATGTAAAAAATGCGACGAAGTTTGAGACAGATCGATTCAGATGTATAGTGAATACAATAACACGAGTAAACCACTTCGACCAACGACGTTGTCATAGCAATTTCCACTTATCCGCGTTATCACTTGAAACTTACTGATAGCACTGCTAGAAACACTTGATATTTTGATTGAGCTTTTCAAATTACACCGCACTGGTGAGCGAATTGCTGTTTTTATACACTGCACTGAAACGTTCGTTTACTGTTGGTTCCTATTAAAAATTGGCTCATTAGGCGCAAGGCGCGCAACGTCCCCGCGGCACCGCGTTCTGAGCTACACTGGCTGGTGTTGTACTTTTGTACTACCGACCGGCTTGTAGTAAGCCGAGCATTGACGGCTTACGTCGGACTGGTCCATACTTTGATATTGAATGAACCCTCCTCGGTTCTTATATTTTTTTTGCACACGCTCTCTTGAGGGTTGAGTTGAGGATGTATAATGTTTTATTATTACATCTGAACTAAAGTATTACAGTTACTTGCCCCCTTAAATAGATTAGAATTATACTAATATAAGCTAGTAGTTCTTTTTCTTAATTATGTATGTAAAATGTAAAAGACATTTTATAATGCACTTATGTGGATGGCTGTCTACTTTGAAAAACTACATGACTGCTTTGATATTTATTTAAGCGGTTCAAAGAAAGAATTTAATTTAATTCATTAGCAAATTTGGTACTGCACATAAGTATGTATGACTGAGGGGTTGAAATAATGCATAAATGCTTCTTCTTCAGGTCTAGTACCCGTTGGATCCTCCCAATTGGACCTTACCCGTTCGACCTCCTATCAAGAACACGGTGCCCACTGGACCCTCAAAGACATACTTACCGACACAATGGGACCTATTAGAGCTCTTAACTATTTGGCTAATTCTTTTGTAACGGTAAAGTACAGCCATGGAGTAAAGTAACATTGTAAAAGACATAAAAACACAAAGGTTATAAATCTAAGTATTTAATCAACATATTTATAAAATTCAAAACATTAATCATCAGTAAGAAACCAATATAAATTTACATATATTATAATAATCAAATCACAGATTTTTTACTTTACTTTTTAAAACCAATAGAAATTATTTTTTATCAAATAGCTTAACTAAATTATACATATGGTTTTTATATCGCACAGATTAAGCACGATTCTTATATATTAAAAAAATATTGATAAAATAAATAGAAGCACAAAGGTTTTAAATATAAGTATTTAAAATCAACATATTTATAAAATTCGAAACATCAATCATCAGCAACAAACCATATAATATAATAATCAAATCATAGATTTTGTTACTTTTAAATAGAAATGATTTTCTTGCAGCTATAGCTCAGACAACGTTTGTAGTTGATTTTAGGAAACATTTTCCGTTTGTCAACTACAAAGTAAAAAAGAAACTTAATTTTTGCAGATATTGAAACAAGTTATCTTAATTCAACTCCAAACAATTTTGGATATGTGTCTGCAGAAAATATTCTTTTTCAATTTTGAAGCAACTACAAACGAAAAAAGTATTCTATAATCACTTATAAACGATGTCTGAGTTATAGCGGCAAGAAAACCGTTATTTTTAAAATTTCGAATCAACATCAAACGAAAAAAAGTAAACAAACGATGATATTAAGAATCATAAGAAAAAAATCGATTTTCCAAAGTCGGGTGCTAGGTTCACACAGCTATGTATAGAAGGCCTAAAACGTTAAAGTAATTAGGTCACAACACTAACCTAACGCACTATAAGTTGGTAAAACATTCATTGGTTTGTAGTTTTTTTTGGTGAGAATTGCAAAATTCGTCCTCCATTTTATATCCAACTGGGTAGGCTAAGTTAGGTTTGGCCAGGATAAATTAAGACCAAAATCTTTTTATTTTACATAATACCGGCGGACCAGCAGGTACTCAATGCAATCCCTAGGAATATTAACCTAGGCAAAGTATAAAATGGAAATAATATTTAAAATATTTCATAAAGTGCCTAGATGCCTCTGGTATTCTATACATTGCCTAGGTATTGGTATAGAATTTTTGAATTATACCGGTTGCTGGTAACATATATATTGACTTTAAACAGTATACTTGTAAAGGATAGAGTTTACAATAAATAAATATAAATAAATACTGACTTTATTATGGTAAAGAACGATGTCTGCCGATGATGAATGCCCGTAATATGAAAAATATATAAGTATAATGATAATTACTTTACTTACTTAGAATAGTCTAATAGTTCCTTATTACTTGATGTTATGCTGCAATCTAATTCACAAATAATTCACATCGCGTCACCAAAACATTCGCATCTACACACACTTGTATCTCCCAAAAAAAAACTGCCAGCAGTAGTCCTGCCCCCGGTCAACTTACTCCTTCAGGTAGCTTTTTGGGATGTAAACAATAGGCAAGAACAAGAGAGAAATATTGTTTATTTGTTGTTGTAAGATTATTTTCTAGATTCTCTCTCTCCCACATATGAGATCGGCGCCATCCTTTTGTTTAAGCGCATAGATGGCTTGGGCTTAGAATCTATAACCTTCCTTTCATCAGGTGCTTAAGAGGAGTATAACTGCTGATAAAAACACTCAATCTCCCTCAGAATTTCAGACTTAGATAAAAGATGATGTCTTCGCTAAATCCACCGTCATGTTGCTTAGATTGCCTGGATCCAAGCTGTTTTAAGGAACTTTGAATCAATCGAACTTTTTTCGATTTGTAAGGTCATTACCACATGTATTAAAAATTAGCTTTTCTTAAAGGTAACGATCATCTGTCTGCGTCCGCGTCCAGTATTTAAAGAGCAATAGACAAAAAACAGTTTTCTTATTATTCCTGAAAACTTACATCTTTGCAGTTATCTTTTATTCTCCGGGGACTTCGACATGTCGTTAATTCGAAGAAAAAGGTAACCTGATTTTTTTAGGCTTACTTATTGTTAGGAGTCAGTACTTATACAGTATTTAGTTAATGGCTTTATAATACCTACTATTATTTTTTTTTTGTCTGCAATTTTCTGTATAACTGTACTGTGCTTAACAAAACTGTCAATAAGGTCCACCTGGCAGTAGGGTATATATCTTGAAGGTCCAATGGGCACCAAAAAAGAGGTCCAATGGGCACATTGAATATAAAATTTTTAAGAAGGTCCAATGGGCACATTGAATATAAAACTTTTTAAGAAGGTCCAATGGACACCAAAAAATAGGTCCAATGGGCACTTTTTGCTTTTGGGTCGAATCTTGAGGGTCCAATGGGTACTAGACCCTTCTTCACACCTTCTTCAAAGGACCTGGGTTGTAGGAAGGACAGAATATCCTCGCGAGGAAAGCATTGGACTTTGGGATAGGGCGAAAAAAAGGAGTCACCAAATCTTCTCGATCGCATTAGAATGATGACCACAGTCTGCAAGACGGAAACGTAGGCTCGTGATTCCCGGGATAAAAGAGAACAATCGCCGTGCGTGGTATAGACGATAGTAAAACTCGTTAAATGGCCACATCGATGTTGTTAGTAACCTCCATACATTTCGCATCCTCTGGAGCAATAGCAATGTTTGATTTGCTTACACTTCCCCAAAGTTCAACACCATAAGTCCAGGATGGTTTTAATATTGCATATAGATATAGTATAAGGTATATTAGGAGCTTGTTGTCCATTGATAGTTTGCTGTTCAGACCTAACATCCAGTAGATGGTCTTATGTTTTAGATTCAGCTCCTCTCTTTTATGGACGGTCCAGGTGCAGTCATAGATACCTTACGCTATCTTGTTGTAGCAACTTATTATTTCCTAGCCTAACTAGGGGTAACAGTTTTCTAGTCGAAGAGATAAAGATAATATGTACCGATTTTGTTGCACTTGCTTTAATATTCCATTTTTGAAGCCATTGTGTTATGTCATCTAATCCCTTTTGGAGATTTACCAGGATTTTGTGAGAATTGCTACATACTATAAAATTGTTGAAGATAAAATATCATTCGAGATGAATAGATGCTTACCTCGAAGACTAGGAGATGGACCGTCCTTTCATGCTTGGTACTTGGCATATTTTAAGTTCTTTTAATTACTCAGCCTAATAACTCTAAAGTAATTTATATATATATATATATATATAAATATATATATATATAAAACAAGTGTGTTAAAAACAATTAATTAATCAAACTTAAACTTAATTTTAAAACTAATTAAAGTAAATGCTATTCTGCAAAGAGCGCTGACTATCCGCACAAAGCAAGTATGTTTTTCTCAATAAAATGTAAATGTATACAGAGGAAATTATCTAACTTATGAGGATCATTACATGGCACTGTTATAGGTAGTTCTTCTGCTTGATCGCAGAACCTAATTAAGATAATATCAGGGTTGGATATCAGTATTTTATATAGTTGTTCATACATATAGTTTTTGCTATTTTCCTCTGCACCCCATGAGAAATTATCATTTGGCATTGATTGATTGACTTTACCGCAATCTTGCCCAATTGTTAAAAAACATCCAAACTTATAGGAGATTTTCCTTTAATTTTTGTTTTAATTATATTATTTGTAATCAGTTTTGGAGTATGAGCAAATTTATTGAGCGCAACCAAACATGATAGCAGTGGTTGGGCAGCACCAGCACTTCCTTTAAAGAACATTCTTCCTCTTCAGTCTCGAGACGCAGTTAGCTTGCTCAAGCAATTGGCATATTCAAGGATTTGGATGGTTTGAGAGGCGCTCAGTGCACCTCGATTTGCATTTGTCTATCTCTTCTGCGACAGTGGGCATGTTCATTTATTCATGAATTTCGTCATTTTTTGTGAACTATGGTGCATTTACTATTGTCCTGAGGATATTATTTTGAACTCTTTGCAGGCAGGTAATGTTACTTTTGCAAGCACTGCTCCACAACTGTATCCCATAAGTCCAAACAGGTTTAATAATGGAATTGTACAACTGTATCCCATAAGTCCAAACAGGTTTAATAATGGAATTGTATATAAGAAGCTTGTTGTCAATTGACAGGGCAGATTTGCGGTTCATAAGCCAATGAAGGTTTCAATATTTTATATTGACTTCATCTCTCTTTTTCTTTAAGTGCTGCTTCCAGGTGAGTCTCCTATCCAAGTGGAAACCAAGATACTTAACGCTATCTGAGTGTGGGTGTGTGTCCGACCCAGAGTGAACAGGAGAAAAGTTTCCCTTCCTTAGTGCAAACGTAATGTGGTTTGATTTTTGGCCAATGACATATATAATAATATATATAATATGCCATTTTTTCAGCCATGCGTGA